AAAAAGTACGCCAAGTCGGACTTTAGAGGCCTGTATCTCGCGATAGAATCGTTTCCCCGAAAAAACCAATATACCGTTGGAAAGTCCATACAAAGGGCTTTCATCACATGTAATTTTCATTTTCCTATGTGCGTGCGCAGTACTGATTTTTTTGGGGTGCGAATGACGGGGGACCTCAAAAAGTACGCCAAGTCGGACTTTGAAGGCCTGTATCTCGCGATAGAATCGTTTCCCCAGAAAAACCGATATACCGTTGGAAAGCTCACATCGAGGGCTTTAATTACGCGTGTTTTTTTATTTTCCTACTTGATGTCCCAATACCGACTTTTTTAGGTTAACCGTATTTTTGCACCTTGAAAAAATAGAAAAATTGCCGATTTCTGGGTAAATTTGGCAACAATGGATAAAAACTATATACGAAATGATAGCTCTTTTTATGTTCTATCAACTAAAACAAACCGCACATTCGTATCTTTAATTGCTCAAAAGTTATGGGGTTCAACATGTTTCAACTTTAAAAAATGGCAACGTCGCACTCGGGGGGCTGGGCATTAAACCAACCCCGGATTTGGAGGCCGGAAGTGCCCCTCTATCACAGGTATGAATTTCGTTAACTTTTGAAATGGGCGATTTTGGGGGGTCCGTGCATAGGGTCCTTTTGCACTATGATGATGATCACCAGGTCGAAAAAATAAAGAGACAATATATCGACGGTGTATGTCGGCAATCATACAACTCGTTTGCGGTGGCTGAAAATCTCCGCTTCTATGTTATTTTTTTAAAGGATAACAAATTGACCTTATTCCTTGAAGTTTTTGCGGAATTTTCTTCGCACACAGAAGAAAAATCACGGCAGTTTTCAAGAATTGCCGTTGAGTACTTTTCCGTTTAAAAAATGAAGTATGACAGGAAGTCTGCGACGTCGCAAACCGAGTTATGTGATTGCCGACTTACACCGTCGATATATTACATAGCTTTGGTTTAATCTATTCAATCAATGAAATTCAGCGATGTTTGACATCAAATCACGACGAGTCTTCCGGTTGATCGACAGGTATTCAGCGGACGATGTTTCCCTGACGGAGCCGCCTCTCCCGGTGACGCTGACGACTCCGACGTCGACGATCTCGATCACGTCGACCGTCTCGCCGACGACCGGTTTCGTGGTGCCGACGACGAAGGCGCCCTCCAGGAACCGCGGCGTCATCTTCCCCAGCGTCAAGAACAAGCCCTCGCCCGCCAACACCACCTTCGCCACGGAGATCTTCCCGTCCATCAGGGATGTCAAGGTAAGCGCCCCCCTCCATCTGTAACACCTTTTAAAGGTTAGTGCACTGGTAAAAAAAACCCCTTGGACCAATGCCGCATTGCATTGACTTATGAGTGCAGTTTCTTGTCGCCGGATTTAAGAGTCTTGAACTCTTGTTTCAAGCCGATTTTGCATTGACTCAAGCGGATTTTGCATTGAAACAAGAGTCCAGACTCTTAAATCCGGCGACAAGAAACTGCACTCTTGAACCAAGAGGTTTTTTTTTACCAGTGTGCAACCTTGAAAAAAGAGCAACGTGATCCCAACCTTAGTCACTCTCGTATGAGCGTCACGTAATTTTAGGAACAGCCCCAAAGTCATCAAAGATCAGGGTGTCTACATCTACAAGTCCGGACTTTCCGGAATGTACGGAAGTAGTACTGATTTTTTAGGTTAGGCCCGAAACACTGAAAAAGTGCGGAAATTCCGCAAGAAAGTCCGGAATTTTTTTTATTTTTGGTCATATTTTTGTCGCAATTTGAGCGAGAAAAGCAAATGTTTGAAATTTTTCGAATTTCGACAATTGGAGGTACTGAAAAAGTTCTGAACATGTAATGTTAAGAAGGTACTGAATTCTTAGGAATGTACTGAAAAAGTATTATAAAACTACTGATTTTTGGTCAGTCTGCTGCGGTAGACACCCTGAAGATGCGGTAGAAAATCGACGAGAGACCGCAGCTTATTTCATTCATGCATGATTTCATTTGAGTACCTTCATTGAGAAACACTGTATTCATCATTTGCCACGCTGATAAAAACTAATGTTATAAAATTACCGTATTAGTAGTGCTTCATACGAGCCCTTACTTTCATAGTAAGCATGATCATGATCAATGACTAGTATTTTTACCACCAGCGATAGTTTTACTAATTTCGTGGCAGCATAATTAGCGTGGTGGTAAAAACACCACTGTGAACAATTAAGAGTTCGCACCATGAAACGTAACGAATATGGTAATGTTAACCACTATTCCGCAGTTAGTTGTTTCCTCTGTATGTTTTTGTCGCTCTGAAGAGCATTCTTGTCACAATCTGGGTTTAAAAATGTGCCCACGTAAAATTCTATTCATTAGTATTTTGAACTGAATAGTGCGCTGCAAGTCATAGGAGACGAATTTTGTTTATTTTCTTTTGTAAACAGAATTTACCTTTAACTTTTTATACCCTCTTTTCCCCCGATCAGTGCTTTCAGCAACGGGACTCCCTTTAAAAATGATGTGCCTGCTTGGCCTCCACCCGATTCCCTCCCGGCTGTGAGAAAAAGAGGACAAATTAGCAACGTCGCAGCAATTCTTGTCGATCTTGTCAATCTTGTCGGCCTCCTCTGGTGTAACGGTTGTAGCGCTTGCTCTGTGATCGGGAGGTCCCGGGTTCGATTCCCGGCCAGGCGACCCGAGCTTGATGGTCTCAAACAATGGTTGCCTGGGACTGGTTGTTCAGTAGGGACGGAGAGGGACCGGGACTAAAAAGCGCGCGATTAGCCCTTGTGGGCTACTTAAAGTGGTTTAAAAAAAAAAAAAAAAAAATTATAAATGAGATTTAAATAAGACATTACCATGCAATACCTTTATAATTTACAATTTTTCCGTTAAAATTTATCGAGGCAACTTTCTTCAGTCATTCTATGCTCCGATTTTGATCGGGCTAAGTATTGCCCCCTTCCTTCCATTGGAGACGTCCCTCTCCTAACGAATCAAAATGTATTCATCTTTATGAAACAGTCGAATATTTTTATGTCTCCCTCATATACTCACTCTCATCCAAAAATTAGAAAGGTTCTAAGAAAAAAATAAACTTGTATTTCCAGGGTTTCTCATGTCTGGATATCTGGAACGCTGGGATGAAGACCTCGGGCGTCTACTACCTCCAGATACGCGGCACAACTTTCTGGTACTTGAAGGTATTCTGCGATCAAGAGACAGCAGATGGAGGATGGACGGTAAGTGGCTTATTTGCATCGTTATGTGACGACCGATGATCGATGGACGTCCAATCCGATAAAATCGCGTCGTAAATCCTCCGTTACGCGTCGACGTCAATGCAGATTCTGTCTTACGACACGCGGTCGTTTCCCAGACGAGAAAACGTAACTTTACTTCAGCGTCGCTAAATTTCGACGCGTAACCTGTAATTTTTTTTCTTCTTCTTTCTTTTTTTTGCAGTTTATTCGGCTCACTGGAAAAAAAACACATTGGACCTAGAGTCCAGACTCTTGAAAACATTGACAAGAAAAAATACTCTTGATTCATTCAGATTTTTGCTTAAATCAAAAGGAAATCCGCTCAAATTAAGAGGCTTGGTTCTTGATTTGAGCTTAAATCTGATTGAATCAAGAGTATTTTTTCTTGTCGATGTTTTTAACAGCCTGGACTCTAGATCCAATGTGTTTTTTTCCAATGCAGTTTATTTGGCTTATATTCCAGTTTAGGAATCTACAGCCTTCTGTAAGACAAGAGTTTAACGTAGAGATTATTTTTTATTGTCAGTAGACATTAGGATGATTTTGGCACATCCATGCTCCGGCTTTCAAATTTTCAGAAATTCAGGCCGAGTAGAATCTGTTTCTGCAGATCCACTCGTCAGTTCCGTGAATTTGTCGCCACCACCGGGATTCGAACCCGGCACCTATTGGTCTAAACCTGTATTTTTACTGTTAAATTGTTTGGACTCGAACCATACGGTTGATTGATTTTCTTCCTAATGCAAAAATTAGCAGAATTTTGGACAGAAATCGCACAGTCAAATTCTTGTAAAAACATAGTGGTCTGAGCTAATTTTACGTCGTAGCAATTCTTTCCAACTGCGCGGACGTCAAGCCAGCTTGATTCCGGTTTGGATTGACATTTGCGAGCGCTCGTTTCGCTTAAATTCTCGCAGAAAATTTCATCATAGCGCAGATGGCACATTCTCGACGTTTTTTCGGTACTGAACTGCCTCCTCGGACACGGGCTCGGACCCGTTGTTCCCCATATCGTTACCCTCCGGTCAAAGTATCGCAAGCGCCATGTGAAGCTTAAAAATTTCCGCCGCCATTTCATTTTTCTACAGAGAAACTCAGAAGTTTCTTTCCGATAAATTTAGTGAAATTTTCAAACAGCCTCAACCGATAACTTCTCCGTAAAAAAATAAAACGTCTGAGGAAATTTTGAAACGTTGCACGGCACTTGTGATACTTCGACCGGGAGGTGACGATTTATGTCGACTGCGTGAAGAGTGTAAAAGACTCATTATAGACGTAGTTTCATCCTAGCACCATCGTCCGATTGAGAGGACGTGCGCATACCTGTCGCATTAGCTCGTAAGATCAGTCACTCTATTTATTTCATGCTCCGAATTTTTGCGAAACGAGGATCCCGATATGAAAGTTGGCAGTTTCAAAAACGCCTTCAATTGTGGCGTGATACCTCACGCATTCCGGAGAGTTCGAATAGTTGTATCATTGCGCCTTAGGAATGAAGATTAACATTGTCGGTTTTCCTTTGCTGATTTTGCAGTTTTAACCGCGTAGCTTAAGCATGCTTAAGCTAGGATTGTATTCAGAAAATGGATATCTTTCGTAGAAGAAACAATACGTATCGTACGATTAAGAGGATTTTCCCAAAACGCTTATAAATAGTAAAAAAGTGTGTTTCAGGAAACTCCTTTGGATATTTTTTTAATGCACTTTTGTTTTATTTAATTTTTCTTGAAAATGCCAATGTTTGTAACAACCGGGACAACTTGGAAAGTCAGGGAATCTATACGGCAACCTGAAAAATTCAGAGAATTTTGCGATCTACGTATGTACCTATTTAGCAAAAATCTGCGCAAAGGAATTTGTAGGTGTCTAAAATTTGATGAATTTCATTTTTAGCTAGGAGCTATACTGACTGAACTGAGCCCAAGAACACCCTTTGGTTTTTAAATTGGACAGTCATTATTGGAGGATATACAATCAAATGATCGGTTCTGCCAAAATACATGTGTTTAAACGGGATATCGACGGTGAAACTACCAAACCACGTATCTCGTTTGCGGTGTTTAAAAATCTACGCTCACATTTTATTTTTTTGAAGTAGACCAAATCAATATCATTCCTTGAAATGTTCACGGAAATTTCTCCGTACAAAGAGGAAAAATCACAGAAATTTTCAAGACTGGATGAAGTAGTTTTTTATTTAAAAAATAAAGTATGACAGGAAGTCTGCGACGTCGCAAACCGAGATACGTGGTTTGGTAGTTTCACCGTCGATATGCCGTCTGATGACGTCACAAGGCGTTACTTTTTCTCACTTTCAAATCCATTTTTTCACAATTTCCCATATCGAAAAAAAAGTATCAAAAATACTGCGGACTTCTCTCATCAACAGTGTTCGAAACTCACCTTTGAGTTTTAGGAGCCATGCGGCGCATCAAGCCCAATTTTTAGGCGCCTTTGAGGATTTTTTAGGGGCCAAATTGACTTTTTGCCTGTATATTACGGCGCGGCGCATTCAGTGACAAGTTAGACGCAAGATGCTTATGTTAATGTATGTATGATGGTTATGTTATGTTTGTAACAGAACCAGTAAGTAGCTTTAACTTGGGGAAGACGAAAGCACTAAGAATGAAATCGTGAAGAATAGAAAAAGCTTTCACTTCTAGTGCTGAAAATTCCGAGTTTTTTTAATTCAAACATATTTGTTTTTCTTTCTTTATGCGACTTCCAATGAAAATCCAGATTCTTAGGGGCCACGTTGGCGCAGAGCCTTCATTTTTTAGGCGCATTGGGCGCGTTGGCGCCTGTGAGTTTCAAACACTGCTCATCAAGTTTTCTCAGATAAAGTTTTATCAGGGCGTCTCTCAAAACTTTCTGTTTGTGCGTGTGAGCGTCTTCACTCGTGCATCCGTTGATCATTTTTCTCTGGTTTTTGCTATAGCTGATCCAACGAAGGGACGACTTCGATGACCCACGGGAGAATTTCAACCGTGATTGGGCCGACTACAAGAACGGATTCGGCGACCCGACCAAAGAATTCTGGCTGGGTAACGAGAACATCTACATGCTCACCAACAACGAGGAATACATGCTCCGGGTGGAGCTGGAGGACTTCGAAGGCAACAAAAGGTCATTTTTACTTTAATTTTTCACAGCTGAAAGCTCTTCAGAGAATTTGTAGTTTTGCGGAAAAACTTTGTTAATATCTGAATTCCATTCGAAATTTTCCCCTAGCGCGGCAGTGAATTGCAATGATTCACAATCCGTGCTTGCAGCCAGTGCGTGCCGCTGAAAAAGAGAGCGCCTTCATTTTTTCCGTATGCAATATGGACAACTGTTGAGTTAAATTAGTTGGGCCCAAGTATTCAGATAGAAAAAATGCGTTCCCGAGAGCAAACATCGGTGGTAAAGCGAAAAATCACGTATTTTGACTGGGGTATCTTATTTTATGCTTTTCTCTCCTCTTTTTTAAAAGAGATTAACGAATATATTTGCACGTGCGTAATTCTTATTGAATACTTAATCACAGGTGAAGAAAAATCTTGTGCGATTTTGCTTCCTTGAACGATCAATATTATACTGCAAACAGCAAGTATTTTGACGCATTTCGAATGCGGTGCGTCGGACGGTGATTTTACGATTTCCAATCCCCCTGAACAATGAGAATGAATATTTTCTCGCACAATTCTTGATGAATAAAGGCAGGTGAAGGAAAATGATTTTACCTCCTAAAACGATCACTATTACTGTGTCATAACAAAGAAATTCACAGAAAATACCAAGGCAACTGTTGGGTTTTTTTTAGTTTTTTTTTCAAGGAAATATCTATAACCGATTATCGCGATCGGACGCGTACCCAATTTTTGACACCATCGATTTTTTTTCGCGAAATTTTTAATCTGTGAAGAAAAAGCTTCTTATTTGCGGCCAAGCAGTTCAAAACAATCCAAGAATCGAGTACAGCATTGAACATACTCCCACCCTCACGTGTGAACAAAAGTGACTAAATCTGGCTGAATATTTTTTTCTCTCTCTGTTCCGTTTTTTATCGCGCCAAGTCAATGTTTGATGCGCCGTTTTATCTACATTCATCTCCGCAGTTGTCGCTTCGAGCACTTATTACAAAAAATAAACGGTGTAACTCTAATCAGTTCCCATCTTCCAAATGTGAACGGATTGTGAGATGTCGCGTCGTTGCTTCCTCGCCGTCTTTTTTTCTACGCACAGTAGTCAAGAATCAAAACTTAAAAAAAAAAAAAAAAATTGATGGTTGAAGTGGACACCCAAATACCAATCTCCAATTCGGTGTTTCAAATTTCTGCTTTCATTTTATTTTTTTGAAAGGCAGCAAGCCAACTAAATAGTTAGAAGTGTTTACAATATATTCTGCTAACCAGGGTGTCTACAAGTGCGGAAAAAGTACTGCTCTTTTAAGGGCGGTCCGGAAGTACTCTGAAAGTGCGGAATTCTGCAAGAAGGTTCGGAATTCTTTCATTCTTTTGTCACTTTAACGCAATTTGAGCGGGAAATTCAAATTTTTGAAATTTGCCGAATTTTTTCGATTGGAGGTGCTGAAAAAGTACTGAATTTGTCTGTTGAGGAAGTACTGAAATTCTTGGAAATGTTCTGAAAAAGTACCCTAAAAACACTGATTTTTGGTCAGCCTGTTTTAGTAGACACCCTACTGAAATGAACAGAAAAAAAAATCAAAAAAGTTTTCCAGAAATTACGTTCAGTAGCTCTTCAAGGAAAAAATAAAGTATGACAGGAAGCCTGCAATGTCGCAAATGGAGATAAGTGGTTTTGCACTTTGGTCATCCATGTGTACATCTATGTTTGATGAAACCAAGGGGAAGGGACCATGGCACTCATTATAACGGCAGATTACGTCATACATGAGGGGCTCGGAGGACAAGGCGGATAAACGCAGTTTTCGCTATTTTGAAAAATATGTGCTTGAAGTTTCGAAATAACATGGATCCCTACGGTGCGCGGTGCAGAGAAAGTTTGAACTGACTGATGCTTTAAAATTGGAATTCGGAAGCAAATTTTTCCCCGAATATGCATCAAGTCTTACTTGAAATAATTAATATTTTATTTTTTTTCAAACACTGCTATGCGCCTTATTCTTCCCAAGTAGCAAAGGTTGCAACAACTTGTAACAAAATCGTTCGATTCTTGCAGCTAATAGATTGATGTGCAGATTGCTTACTCTCTCCCCTGAAGGAGCTATCATTGTTGGAACTAGTTGCAATTAAGTTGAAACATGTTTCAACTTCAAAGTATTGCTGGTTGCCTATCTTTGGATTTTAAACAACTTTGGTTCAGCAATTTTTGCAATCTCAGCAGGTTGCAACTTTGTCTTCCGATCAGATCGCCGAAAATCGGCACTTATCGATCAAAAGTTGACCGAAAGTTGCAACTAATACCGACATTGTTTCAACGTGTTGCAACTTTTACATTGAAAAATGCTACTTGGGTTTAAGCCCCTCACTTCATGTTTTTCGATGATATCTCCGCTGCTATTACGGACGTAGATAAGAGGCCCTTTTTCCCTGATATACCTATAAGCGTAAACCATCCAAACACAATTCTGTGCTACGCGACTGGTCCTTCTCAGCATCAGAATCAAACTGCTCTCTGTCACTATCAGGACAATTGTGCGGCGTGGCGCACCGTTTACGCCGCTCATTAACACCCACTCACTCACAATAACTACCACTGCCGTTTATTCATACTCCAGCACACACACAAACTTACTCCAGATTCATTGACCCGGTTGGTCTTTAACCCGTCAATTCGACGCCTCATTTTCGTGGGGGTATAGCTCAGTGGTAGAGCATTCGACTGCAGATCGAGAGGTCCTCGGTTCGAACCCGAGTGCCCCCTCAAAATTTTGATCTCGTCAGGATTTAGAGAGTCATCGATGACCTATCGCATGTAGTGAACTCGTTGCTGCTTCGCAACTCGCCCAGACCGATTTTATTGCGATTTTTTCAGATTTTCTTTAAAGAAAAGAAATAAAAAATAGCTGCAGGAAAAGGCGGTCTGCAGGAAATCGGGAAAGTTGTAGAATTCGCTCACTGAAAAAAAAAGTAGCTTGGATCAAGCATGATAATTCTTGAATTTGCCGCCAAGAATTTTCTTTATCTTGCTTTAAGCTGACTTTTTCTTGATTCAAGAAAAATAATGCTTGGGTTAAGCAAAAAAGTAGCTTATATTAACCAGTAAAATTCTTGATTTAAGAAGAAAAACTTCTTGGCGGCTTTAAGATTCTTTTTTTTCCAGTGATACGACTGGGAATTGATAGGGGATTTCACGAGGAGCGCACGGCAATTGGACTGCATTTTGCAATTTGGAACTATAAATTCTAACTATTATGGAAAAACACTTATGTGCATAGGGAAACTAATGGCACATACGTTGTTTTTAAACCGGGCGAGAATTTATAGTTCCAAATTGCAAAATGTAGTCCGATTTCAACTGCTGCCGTTCGAGTGAGCGCGAATAACTTGTGTGCAATTTTTTTTCTCTCTTTTCCCCGTCTCATAAATTGGACTTATTTACGCTGAAAGGAACGATCTCTTTTTTTCCGTCTCATAAATTGGACTTATTTACGCTGAAAGGAATCGACGGTGAAAACCCCAAACCTCGCATTGCGTTCTCGGTGTTTAAAAATCTCCACACCTGTTTTTTTTTTTTTTCAAATCAAGAACAAATCAACATCATTTCTTGAAAAATTATCAGAATTTGCTTCGCACGGAGAAGAAAATAAATTACGAAAATTTTGAGAATTGACGTTGAGTTGTTCTTCATTTAAAAATGAAGAATGACAGGAAGTCTGCAACGTCGCAAATCGAGATACGTGATTCGGAAGTTTCACTGCCAAAAAGAATAAAATTACAAAGAACGTGCAGCACGTAAACCCAACGCACGTGTGTATTTTGCTTTGATTCATCTTCATGTATTTTTCGTAATTCTTAAATTTAATACCTATTTTGTCCAAAGTTTAGCAAAAGTCCTGGTTTCTTCTTTTAAAATTTTTTTGTGAAAAAATCAGATCTATTGAGTTAGGAATTTTGAAAACGGATTACCTCTAGAAACCCTAAAAAAGAGTCTGCAGAGAGAGATAAATCTTTTCATTCTTCAATGTCTTCATCAATTTTCTCGTCCTCAGGTATGCTCAATACTCGCATTTCAAGATCTACTCAGAAAACGATTACTACAAACTTGAAATCGACGGCTACGAAGGCAACGCTGGCGACTCTCTGAATGATCCTTGGTATGGCAGCAATAACAGCCCCTTCTCCACGTATAACAGGTACATTTTCGTTTAGTATGGTTACTCGCCCTTAATCGGTTTTTTTGGCTCGGATTTTCATTTAAGTGATCTGTATCCAATTTTAAGATCATAGATCTTTTTTTTTTTTTTTTTTTTTTTTTTTTTTTTTTTTTTTTTTTTTTTAATTTGACGTAACACAATGGGTGAATTTTTTTAAGTTTTTTTTTTCTGATGCTCTCCCTTCCAGTTTTTCGTCTAATTTTCTGTTGAGCGTGGCCAAGTCTCTCAATTGGTTTTGCTGCATGGTTTTCATCATTTATTTATTTAAAAAAAAAAAGAATTCGAAAAAAATGTTCTTTTTATGTATAGGCATTATACTACCTGAGAAGGGAGGGGGGATTTCACGTTCAGTTTTAAGTTTCGATTCTGAGCCTGAAGTAATTTTCCTTAGTATAGTAAGAATTGGCTGAAGTGGCTCTGAATCGTAGGAAATGTTTTTTCTCTCACAGGATTTCCCCTCCTCTTTGTTCAATATTTTCTTCTTTTCCTTGCAACCAGGAATCTTGTTTGGGGTTTTATCTTTTGGGGGTTTGGGTTCAGCCTTGAAAAATTTAATCATTTATGTATTAATCTGAGAACAATATTTATGGATGTAGCCCCAGCAGCAAAGCTTGCAACAAATTGCAATTGCAGGGTCAAACAATTTGTGATATTCTATTGGAGGGTTATGTATGTTGCCTATCTACTAATTGAAGGGGCTCCTCTTATTGAACTCCATCGCATTAAAATTAAAACAGGTCGCTATTTCTTGCACTTCAAATTGCCTACATTTCTCACTAATTGTATTGATTATCTAAAGTAGGCAATTTTTGACAATCAATATAAAAGCACCTAGTGCAATTTTATGGTGAAAAAAATTGCAATTCAATTGAAAAGTTATTTCAATATTATCATCGCCCTGATGCTACTTAAGAGGGAATGGAAGGGCTTTTACAAGACAGTCATAATCTAGATTCACAATTGATATTGCTAGTACAGCACTTGTGTTGGCTATTGTATGAACTTTTTGTGACTGAAGGTTTTTAACTTTACAGAGACAATGACCGGTCTAGTTTGAACTGCGCCTCAATGCTGAAAGGAGGATGGTGGTGGAAGTCGTGTGGACGAGGGCTAAATGGACTCTATCTGAATGACCCTCAAGATTTGACTGCTAGGCAAGGTGAGTGCTGACATGAAGTCACCAATTACTTATAGGACAAAGGTTTTTTACTCAGAAATCTTGGATTATTTGGAATACCTACATTCTGCAATAAGGAACCACTGTTCCTGGCTCCTCATTCTTGAAAGTTCATATATGCCATTAGTTTCCGCATGCAGATAGGAGCTTTCCTGATGCTGCAATCACTTGCTGAATGTGGCTTGAATGTGGAAGTCATTGGCCCGATGCTTGAATTTTGGGTGTGATGCGCAAAATTCAGCAAAGATTCTCAGCAACCATCGGATATTGTAGGATTTGTCTGAACTATTCGAATAGATTTGAAAACACATCTGTTTAAATAAAGATTAAACAATTTTTAACTTTAACAGAGAAAACTCTCAAAAAACCGTAATAATATCTGACCTGGGAGACCCTTTTTGCTCTTTTTAATGTAAAACTGCCTCCTTACTAGTTTATAAGTGTCGTGATCACTTTGGTTTGATGATGTTAACACATATTGTGTGTTTGTAATGTTTGGTTCAATGTTGTTTTAATGTTACAGAGATGTTTTGATTATTACCTATATTGAATTTTTTTTTTAAATTGGTGTTAATCATCAATATGAGTGGTCTTAAATCAACAAAATTTGGAGGCCAATTTTTTTTTCAGAACTTTTTATTCAACCTACAGTCGATGTAGATTTTACTTAAAAAATAGGAGAAAAAGAGTTCCCTAACTTCTTCATTTAAGCAATTTGCACATTCCTCTTGAGTCCAAATCTATCAGTCAAAGCTACAAAGGATTCTCTTTTCTACTGATACGATTATCCTCATCTCCTTCCCTTCTTCTTCAATTGATTTTGACTCTTAACATTTTGTACTTGTACTTTTTCCAGGTATTGTTTGGTTCAGATGGAGAGGATGGGACTACACGCTTAAGAAGTCAACGATGATGATCAAACCAAAGGTGGCCGGAAACTCACCATGATTTGCAAAAGCGATGCACTATCTGTGCCATCAAGAATCAATACCAAAAATGTTAAGATAAACAAACTATCGAAAGAAAAACTGGTGCATAAATGATCAGAGCATCCAAGCTGAATGAACATTCAGTGACAGTTGAAACCTTGAAGTTGTTTTTAGTTTTATTATTTACCAAGGTTATCCTCCGCAGCAAAAGAATATGTAATATTCCTGAAACTTTTCCTTTAAGTGCAATAAATTATCTAGGTTAGAAAAAAGAAGGGAAAAGATTAGGGAAAATTGTAGGTACATATTACGTTTAGAAGCAGGAGACAAGTTAATAATAGCTCTTCCAACCTGTTTTTGGTGCCCGTCTAAGAATTCATTGCGGTGAATTTATTTAGTTTTTGCTGTACTTCCTATGATTAATTTAAGTGCCTTCACATAATGAAGCAGAAATCTACTTCCCTCTTATGAATACTAAATTTAAAATGGCAATAATCTTAGGATTACTCCCATGGTGCTTTCCTGTACCCCCAATCAAGAAATTAAAAATTTAAAATGCTCTAAAACTTAATTTCGTTCAACTCAAAAAAGAGCTAACAAAAGCTTAGTTCAGTTCCTCTAACCATCACTTTACTTTCATCTCCGATTGTTAGAAAATCTGTACCTGTTTATCATAGATCCCGTCAGTAATGCCTCACAGATTAGAATCCTAATCAAATCTGCTGCAATTTTACTTTATTTTCTCTAAAAATATTTTAAAGTTTTTGAATGAAGTCTCCCTCAGGATTTTATTCCTGGTGTCTTCCATTTTTCATTATTGTTTAATTTTAAGTTCTTTTTGAATCAAGCTTTTGTAATGATTTTTGTGGATGCAAATAAGGAGAGGGATGAAATTTTTCTATCTTTATTATTTTATTTTTTTTTTTTTTTTTTTTTTTTTAATTTTTTGTCAACTCCACTGATGATGAATACCTGTTAAGGTAAATTTTCTTGTTTGCATCTTTAAAAGAGAAGACAATTGATAAAGAAGAGAAATTGAGGGCTCGATGTGTTTTTGAGTTTCCTAAAAACAAAATTTTGTATTTTCTAAAAGTTATACCGAAAAACATGGAACTGTGTCTCTCCAGTGGGAGACTTACATAATGTGTCTTCTCTTTTTTTTTCATAGATA